TACAATAGAAACCTCATCTCATGAAAATTGAAACTTTTTATAGAATTATCTGATGATACTCTAAGTTTATTTAATAAATATTCCCAAATTCATCTTTCATTCCATAGAAAACTTAGCCGATGAAATATTGACTTGAGATATTTGCAAGAGCTGAAAAAGCTTTCTATTTTTATAGCAAGCACAAATTCTACTTAGAATAAAAATAACATACTATGCATAATAAGGTTAATTAGAAGCGGCTTATTGTCATACTTATAATGCCTAAACTTATACATTTAATTAAAATTCAAATAAATCTTCTAAATGTAGTTCAAGATGATAGTAGTGTAATCATATCTATACTAAGTATTTTTATTAGTTTAATTGCATTCTGATATTGATTATGATTGTTATTATGGATATGATATATTAGAAATCTTATTACATCAAGGAGTAAATGATTCTTAATAACTAAAGGAATCATCCAAATATAATTTAATTGGAGGAAATAGGCTGACATGATAAACATTATTTATCATTTGATATGGTCTAAATTTAAAATTTAAACTATCAGTATAAAAATGATTTACATGATAAACATTATGTTGAATTTGACATGTTACACATCTTGTATTACAATTATAGCATTTGCTATCAAGAGGATTCAAATATTATGTACTTTATTAACTTGTACAAATAGTAGATTATATATAGCAAGCATTGCATTCTTTGAATAATGAATCTTTCTTTAATAAAAGTAATTCAAAATAATTTTTTCCTCTGAGATATTAGATATCTTATCTACAATTTTAAACTCAGGTTTATTTTCCATTTAGTTTTTAATTGTTGAGGTCTGGCAATTGATCTAATTAAAACTTTCTTTTATTTAAATCACGCAGCTTTTTAAGAGATTATTTAATGAAGCTAGAACTTCCAAGTCATCTATTTTTGTAAACAAGCTTATATATAATTCTTATTAATTAATTTAGCTTTAAGTTTATGAAACAAAATCAAATTTTAGATATTAAGAAAATAACTAACTTATTCATTTAACAAGTACTCTTGAAATAATTTTAAATTTAAAAATTCTTTTAAAACAAATAGCCCTCTATTAGAATATTTAATTATTCCTTAAAGCTTATCATAAGGAACAGCAATAATTTAATTTTATTCAATCAATTAATCCAAGTGGTCTTTAAGCTCCAATATATTTTTTATATAATTGATTGTTAATTGAACTGAATATCCTTCTTTCAATTAAAAGATTATGGACCATTTCAAATTTTCAAAAAAACAATAAAGCTCATATATATCCAAAGGATTTTGATTTATTTGTTATAAAAATTAAGCAATAGAATTTTCCCAGCTTCCTTTAGAGAATCCATAAATTCTTCACTAGGCTTTAATTAGGAAAATGAAGAGACTATTCCAAATAACACAGATTTCATTAAATTTTTACCAGTTTCTGATTTAGTTCGTAAATGTTCAATACCTATTTTTATCATTTAGAATTCAAAATCAGTCCCAGAAAGCTAATTTTATTTTGATTCAACAGTTATCTACTCTTCAATTTCTGAAATATATTCTTTAAGTTATTATGAAACTTTTTCTTACATAAATCTTGACTCATTTATTTGTTGAAAATAAAATAGTACTCTAAGAAAATCGTTACATATTTATAGTAATGAGTGAAATATATATCCGAATACTTTTAGGTATGCAACTAACTATTTCATTATATTCTCAAAAGAACGCTAAATGAGATCGTAATAATATTAATTTAAAGCTTAATTAATACACAGTTTTTAAATATGCTCTTTATTATTTTGAAACTATATAATTGCGCAAAGCACATCCTCTTGATGGTATTTATCATAAAATAGTTGAGCCTATTCTATAATTAAATTTGTATAATGTTTCAGATTGGAGGCAAAACTTAATGGAAATTAAATTTACCTGATTCTTGTTTCAGGCATAACTAGATTACTTGTACAACATCCCCATTCCCTTAAGGATTCCGATCAATCAAGTATTAAAGTTTAGTCACTTTCGCAAATCACATTTGTTTATCCTAGATGTGGGATTCATTTTGCATTAATTCATCCATTCAAAAATAGATGTATATGTGTTATAGCCATCCTACAATTATGAGAGAATTTTTCCACTTCCAAAAAG